TATAATGTGTTTGATGAAAGCTGGGACCAAATAACGTGCTGGTATTTTGTCAAGATAAACATGTATAATGTGTTTGATGAAAGCTGGGACCAAATAACGTGCTGGTATTTTGTCAAGATAAACATGTATAATGTGTTTGATGAAAGCTGGGACCAAATAACGTGCTGGTATTTTGTCAAGATAAACATGTATAATGTGTTTGATGAAAGCTGGGACCAAATAACGTACTGGTATTTTGTCAAGATAAACATGTTTAATGTGTTTGATGAAAGCTGGGATCAAATAACGTGCTGGTATTTTGTCAGTGGCCAATGTGTTTTTAAGAAAACGAACGAAGTGAAAACGAATAATTATATTTTTTCAGGTGTTTTATTGTAGCTACGTATTACAGCGAACAAGTAACAGAAACATTGAAATACAGACAATTTTTATATTAATGTTTTACTACCAAACCAGTCTACCAGCCAGACGAGAAGCCAACCAGGGATTTGGAAGTGGAAGACCAGTAGAAAGTGTTAGTAGGTTACGAACCGGGAGAAACAGCAGGAGCTGTAGCGAGAGGGGTCGTTGCTAGAGGAAGAGCTATCTTCTGAGCCTTGTTGATCGAAGTATTAGCGGGATCTTTTGCCTCCACGCCGGGCTCGTTGGAGTCTATGTCGGTACGGAATCCAGCGGCATCAGCCACGTAGTTGACGGTACGGACACGGCCATCAGCTGTTCTCAGTCCGTAGGATCCGATCTTGACATTGCCGAGGGCATCACCGGATTCCCTCCGGAAGCTTCCGCCGGTCAAAGATCCCTCATCGTAGGCGAAGTTGTAGTTGCCAAGAGCCTGGAATGAATAGTTAAAACTCTTTATGGACCAGTCCAGTGCAATAGAACGTTTGTATTCGTTACGCGGGAAAGAAGATATTCATATATTATGGAGTGTGAGAAAGAGTTACTTACGATACAGAAAAAAAAGAGAAGAAACAAAACAAATTAACTGTTCTTAGTTGAATCACACCCGGCGACTCACTTGTCACACCCGGCGACTCACCTGTCTTACCCGGCGACTTCCAAGTGTTTTGCACTCTTTCAAAACTCTGTTTAAATGTTGTAACGTTTTGAATGTGTAAGAACGTGTTGTACAAGAACTTTATCATATCATCGAAAGAGATGGTGGGTATTGACTTCCACTAGTCACTCTGTTTATAGGTATTCTAAAAATATCTAAACTTACATCTTGGTTCCGGGTCTGGATACTTGCTCCAGTTCCAAGAAGACCTGGAGTGTAGATGATGCCAGCTTGGGCAGCGGCGACCAAAGCACACAGAATAAGTACCTGAAATAAATTATCGATATTAATTAATCTAATTCAATTAGAGAGATAAACAGGTGATAAACAAGTCGATACAATTTGACCAACAATATTCACTGTTACCATGACAATAAAAAATCTCAGTCACAAAAATACTTAATAATCTAATAATACTAATAGTATTTATTGAATAAAAAATCATATTAGTACGAAATATTAAATTATAATTAACAGGTTAAATATATTTTTACTTGTAATGATACCAAATAGACGGAAGGATAAATAAACAGATAAATAGATCGACAAACAACCAAGTAGACAGATAGATAGAAAGAGAGACGACAAAAAAGATATATCTTGGCTGTTACGTTTTATATTTTACAAAAAGTTAGATAATTCTTAAGTACCGATTAAAAGAAAATAATACGATATTCTTAAGAACTTATTTAAATGTTTTATGATGTTTTAAAAGTTTCAGTGCTGGCTGAAGAATGGAAACCGTTTTCAATAAAGACAAGAAATGACTTCAGATAAATGCTGTTTATTCTACTTAGAATAAATAAACCTTTATCTCAAGTTTTTTTTTATATTCTTCATTGAAAACTATTTAAATTTTATTTCTAATTTAAGAATTTTTTGAACAATAACCGAATAATATAATTGATAAATCAAATTAACATAATTTTTACTCACCTTCATCTTAAGAGTTGTTTTTCACTCCAAGTTTTCTCTCTTTGGAAAGATTGGATGTTTGTGTCAGCCTCTCCAAATTCTCAGGTTTAAATACTGACTCTAGGTGGAGGTGTGTAGATAAGTTCTTATTCTTATTGGTCTTTAGTTAAAAGGAAGATAATTGTTCTAACGAAACTCAGACTCCTAATGTCATCATCTATATTTTGTGTCCTGACCTTGGATACTGATGCAACTGGTGGATACTTGAAGAACCTGTTTTTGTGAATCGAAAGAAGAAACCTCACATCTAATCGCTAATAGTTCGTTTTTACAGTGTTTGAGATGTGATAATTGTATGTTCTTTTGATTTCTATATCTGCGATGAAAAGTAGGCTCATTTGTTTCTATCACATAAATGAAGTAGGCTTAGTTAGTTGTATCATAAATACAAAGTAGGCTTAGTTAGTTGTATCATAAATATAAAGTAGGCTTAGTTGTTTCTATCATAAATATAAAGTAGGCTCATTCTTTCTATCATAAATATAAAGTAGGCTTAGTTGGTTCTATCATAAATATAAAGTAGGCTTAGTTGTTTAGATCATAATTATAAAGTAGGATTAGTTGGTTCTATCATAAATATAAGGTAGGTTTATGTAGTTTTATCATAAATATAAAGTAGGCTTAGTTGTTTATATCATAGACTTAAAATAAGACCCAAAACTTTAGCGCTTTCGAATAGTTGACTATTCTTCTTCAGGAGAACAAAAAAGAAGAACCAACTATTCGAAAGCGCTCGAGTTTTTGGGTTTTATTTCAAGTCTATTACACTTTATATGTGATCCATTGTGCTAACTCTTTTATCAGAATTGGTTCTATCATAAATATAGAGAAATTTGGTTTCGTTTAATACGTTGGAAGAAAGTTTTTTAAATGGGTTTTTGAGAGAACAAAATACTGGGCTTAGTTTAAGACAATTTGTACAGCTAAAACCCTTTATCAGATGATTTCAGGAGGTTTTTAGGTATTAAACCCATGATTTTGAAAGTGAACGTCATCGTTGTAATTTAAACACTACATCATTCATATGTTCACGAAATATTTGTTCTCATGTTGACTTTAGAATTATTTTGGTTCGACTTTTGAATTTTTTAATAATTACTTTTACCCTTTGGTTTAGTTTTGGCTGAGCACAAACTACAAAACTGGTTATCGGTGCTCAGTCAATCACGTGGATCGAAACCCGAATTTTAGCGTCCTAATCATGCAGATTTACTCCTAGAAGGGGGCACTTTTGAGCTACCCTGAATTTTAGCTTTGAAGTTTTTAATTGGTTTAACTTTTGACTTTTCAATAATTTATTATTTTTACTTTTGAACTGTATGAGTTATTATACATGCTTTCTAATCATTCTGTCTTTATATCCGAGTTGTTCTTGTTTTTATTCTGAGCGTTGTGATTTCGGTTTTTGAAATTTTTATAGTTGTTTCTGTTTTGACTTCTGTATTGTCCTGAGTGTATGTTTGAATTATTGTTGACTTCTGTATTGTTCTGAGCGTATGTTTGAATTATTGTTGACTTCTGTATTGTTCTGAGCGTATGTTTGAATTATAATTATTGAGATTTTGACTATTGAATGGATTTGATTTTGGTTGATGAATTTTTCCGATTTTAGTTTTGTTTTGATTTCATCTTTTAAACCTTTGAATTTCTCTGATCTTAGTTCATGAATTACGATTTGAATTGCTTTAATTTTGCACCTTGAATTATTTTGAATTCGGCTTTTGAAATATTTTCATTTTGACTTTTAAATTGTGATTTTGTATCTTGAAATATATTAATTTTGAATTTTAAAATATTATTCTTTTGAAATATTTATTTTTGTGATTTAAGGTTTTGAGTCTTTAAATAGGAGCTCCCGGTGATTCAGCCGTAAGCTTGAGGGTTTATAAAGTAGAAAATAGGGTAAGCCCAACTCGAGTATAGAAACCAAACGTTTAGCGTGATAACTCCCCAAATTTACCGTTGACTCACTGGGGGGGGGGGGGGGGTCTTATAGGAAAAGTAAAAAAAGTGAATAATGATGTTATATTTTTGACTTTTTTTTTAACCCTAAGCCTATCTTCTTTCTCTCATACCACCGGTATGATCCAAATATCTCAGTATACTGAGTAATTTTTACACTGTTTGTTTTTGCTACAATACTCGGTGTGAATACCCTCCAGTGGCAGATAGCGGTAAGTTTATAGGCTTACGACGCTAAAAATCGGGTTTCGTTACTAGTGGAGGAGCAGAGAACGGATAGCCCATTGTTAGCTTTGGGTTTTTTAGTAACTAAACCAAACTCGCGCTCGAATCGTAATCTGAAGGTCGCGGGTTCGAATCCCCGTCACACCAAACATGTCAACCTCCGCCTTTGCCTGGTCCCAAGTCCAGGATGAGAAATGAGGAGGGTTGGGCGCGGGGCTAGCAACTCCACCCCGTAAAAACCAACCTGCTACAAGTAACTGCAACAACGCCTTCCGTTGGTGAGGTGTTGTTACGGCCCTATGCTCCACTGGGAGTTTACAGGAATAAAAAACAAAACGAAAAAACAAAACAAACTCAATTAAATCTAGAGGGGCACTCAATAGAGCGTTGATCATATTCGGCTCTCAAAAAATACGAAAATGTGTCCATATGTCCGTTGATAACAACGGACACGAACCATTTTTGCAGGAAGACATGGAGAATAATATTCTACATAACTCCACCAAGTTTCATCAAAATCCATTTATTTATGACTCAGTTATAGAGCAAAAATAGTGTGAAAAACCGGTCCCCATGTTAACAGATAGGGAATTTTTGGATTTTTGTGACCTTGAACTTTGATTTTAACCCTCCAAAACCTAATCACTTCTAAATAGGGATCATACTACGAATGTATACCATCTTTCGTCAAAATGGATTTAGCTGTTTTCGAGAAATCTTGCTGACACACACAGACACCGGGGGTGAAAACATAACCTCCGTCCACTTTTGGAGGCGGAGGTAAGAGTCATCAAATGATTAGGGGAAATCACTCAAAGTGACAAATGTGACGCCACCTGTCGAACCAACCAGAAACATATCTCCATTATACAAATTTAACTAAAACTTTCTGGTTTCTATATTGGAGATGGGTAAAGGCTACGTACATCCTTGAGAGCTGTGTAATCTATTTAAAAAGTACCCATTAAACTTGCAGGGGGAACTAACGCATGTGCTTCCATTGAGGGTAATAAGTCAGTGAAGTCTCGAAAGGTACCCCCCCCCACATGCTCATGATCCTGTTAACAAATGCTTGTTTGTTTCGGATATTAGAGCACAACTACACAAGGGTTATCTGAACTGATAAATCAAGAAGGGTCATGGGTATCCCCCGCCAAATTTTGTGTTATTGATCGTACTTTTGTTTGTTTGTTTTGAATTTCGCGCAAAGCTACACGAGGGCTATCTGCACTTGCCGTCCCTAATTTAGCAGTGAAAGACTAGAAGGAAGGCAGCTAGTTATCACCACCCACCGCCAACTCCTGGGTTACTCTTTTACCAACGAATAGTGGGATTGACCCTCACATTATAACGCCCCAGTGGCTGAAAAGGCGATCATGCTTGGTGGAACAGGGATTCGAACCCGCGACCCGGAGATTACGAATCGAGAGCCCTATCCACCTGGCCATGCCGGGCCCGTATTTTTGTATTTAAGGCAAAGTTAGTAAGGCTGTCTACCAGAAGAAGGGCAGCCAGTCAGCAATTGACTGTCACTTTTTTAACACACCCAGAACTGAGAGTACTGGGAATGTTTTGAACGCGGCTCGAAGTCGAGAGCTATACCACAGGACCAGCCCGCATTCTATCGTAATTGAATAGTAAAACTTGAACGTCACTTATATAACGACCCCAAGGTGCGGAGCGCGTTTCTGGGGCAAAGGGTTCGCGAACTATGAATTAGTCCCGCCATATATACTGAAAGCAATAAATTGGGAGGAGGGCTAGTTTGTTTGTTTCGAGTATTCACCACCATCTTTAATTTTGAACTAACCAACTGTAGGGAAAAACGGGTAGTCAATAGCACACACACACCGCCAACTCTTGAGTTACCCACGGTCTTAAAGTACGGAGCGCAATGTTTTTGATATCATTCTGGAGTACTTATTTTTTAACTGATCAATTAATGAATGTTTTGATCGTCATCCCCAGTGGCTCAACAGCGCCGTCTGACGTAACGACAAACTACATGGTTCGTGGTGCTACTTACGGCGGAGGAAGCTGCGTAATCCGATCTGACGTATTAAACTATGACGTCATATACCTATACAGCTGCTTACACTTGGATGATCGAAACAGATAAATCTAAACCTGAAAAAAAAGCCGGTTTTCTTGCCTAGTGGTTGACAAGGTTATCGCTGTCAGCTAGCGGGAAAACCACGACAGAGTTCCCGTTCGTTGTAATTCTCAGCGGCTTTGCTTCTTTTCTATTATTAATTCTTTCTGCTCCGAGTTTTTTGTTGTTTTTTTTCAGTCGCGATATATATATATTTATGTTTCATTTAAACAGTGTACTAAACAGCTCTTATTTATAAAAATTTGTTGATAAGACCTCGTGGAGAATGTATCGGATTACGGGTTGAAAGGTCCAAGGTTCGAGCTGCGATTTTCCTCAGAACTCATCCTTCACTTTCAGAGAATACGTTATAGCAGTAACAATTAATTTCACTATTCGATTAAGAGTATCCGTTTAGGCGGCGGGCGCTTTTGATGAGCTACCCTTCTCTGGTCAGAAGTTCTAGATCATTTAAGGGTCTCAGACCTGACTGTTTATCGACGTGTAACATAAGACGCCGATCACGTTGAAAATGTAGTCAATTGTATAGAAACGTTAGTATATTTGAATTTTACAAAATAAAAAACACAACTTTTTCTTCAACATTCCACAAAAACATTTTTTTTTAATGCAAATGATTTCATATTGCTAGTGTTTGGCATTCACCACCTTCTGTGTGTTTTTTTAT